CCTCGCCGTCGAGCTGCGGGTGCCGGTGACAGCTAAGATGCGCGTGTTTGACGACGACGGCTTGACGCTGAAGTACGCAGAGATGCTGCGCGACACCGGCATCGCGGTCCTCTGCGTGCACGGCCGCACGCGGCACAACAAGCGGGAGCTTGCGGATGTTGCGCAGATACGGCGCGTGCGTGAGCACCTGTGCGGGTCCATTCCCGTCATTGGGAACGGCAACGTATTGGTGTTTGAGGATGTTTTGCGTAACCTGTCGGTAACGGGGTGTGAGGGGTACATGTGCGCGGAGCCGCTGCTGTGGGACCCGCGCCTCTTCTCAGCCCCGCCTCACCCGATGCGCAACGGGCGCTACGTCACTGAGTGCCGTGAGGCACGACTGGGCGCTATTCGTACGGCTCAGGAGTACCTGCAGCTGGTGCAGCGCTACCCTGTCGACGTCAGCTTTGTCAAGGCGCACCTCTTCAAGATGCTGTTCCCCTGCTACGAGACGTACCCGGCTCTGCATGGGTGGCTCACCACCTTCACCTGCAACAGCCGGAGCAGCTGTAAGAGCAGGGAGAAAACGGAAAGCCCACGGCGACAAGCAACGGCTAAGGCAAGCTCGGACTTCTTCACCACTGCCATGGCTGCGCTTGGCGAACACCTGCGGCACATGTACGCGACGGAGGTCTCGTGCAACATCGACGGGCCGCCTCCCAAGCGGGCGAAGGAGCGCCACCAGAACACCACCGATGACACGTCAACGCCAAGGGAAAGGGAAAGGAGGAAAGCGGCGGTGATGCCATCTGACCCCTTCGCCGAGGACGAGGTGTTGGGCATCGCGTTTGACTAACACAGTAAGAAATGGAAGGATACGACAGGCTGTCAACACGCTACACGGCTGACGCCGCGGTGAATGCGCCGTGGTTGCTTAGCTGACATGCGATGAGTCCTTCGCTTCTTTTTCTTCTTTTTTTTTGTGTGGTGGGGCGGTGCGGGCTGCGTGAGGTGGAAGAACGGAAGGAAGCAGAGACTTGTTTTTTTGTTCGGTGTGTAGGGAATAGAGGTGGCACGTGAAGGAGTGCGGAAGAGAGGGGGAACAGAAAGGCAAAAGGGAAAGGAGAACAAAAGGTTGGGGAGCAGGGACGTACGGGCAAAATGCCGATGGGCGGTTGTGTCGCCGTCGCCGTCGCGCTGCTGTTGCTCCTGGCGCACGGCGAGCCAGCGGTGGCGGGGCAAAGCCAAGGCGACGCGGCGCCGCGCCCTCCACGGAGGCGGATCGTTGCCTTTGGCACCCTCACCGCGGCCCCCGCGAGCTACGTGGCGAACAGCGAGGCGGGGGCGGAGGGGCGCCAGCAGCGGGAGCTGCAGCAGCTGGGCCGGAT